GGGGACTGCTGATCGTTGGAGGACGCGGTCCACACTGATCTTCTCATTCTTACGTACTTCGGTGGGGTGATGTGGGGTTGGGTAGCACAGGGGGTGATGGGGGCTTCAAGGGGAAGGGGTAATGATGGATAGAGGCAATTAAGCGGAGCGAGCCGCTCTGGATCGCTTCACGAAGGCTCTGCTCCCCTTTTACCTTCTTTATCCCTTCTACTTTCAGAACTACCTTTAACTCTTCTCTCTACCTCACCTCCTTCTGTGTTTGCCATCACGCTGAGAAACATATACCCTGACATTCACGTATACTTGGTGGTGTCCACTGGATCGGCAACTCAAGGCCTCAATCCTTTCGTCTTCTCTCTCGGTGTCTTCTCCATGCCTCGTTGGGATTGGCTAAATATTTGAGATCGTTTCACGGTGATTTGGAAAACATTGGACGTTTATTTGAAGGAATGGGTTGTCCTCGGACGAAATCAAGGGTTCACCGAATTTTTTGGCAAATCATTTTTTTTCACCGTCATATATAAATTTAATTCAAGAGTAATTTTACATTTTTGCAACGAGCAGGCGACATTTTGCTCGAATTTCCCATTTGAAAATGAATATGCAGCATTAAATTATGCTGTTTTCTCTTTAAAACTAGAAATTCTGAAATGTATTCATCTGATTTCCAAAAATGTCAATCAATTTGTGTAAATAATTGGTTGTCTATTAAAAAAATACAATTCACAATATTATCTCCAAAAATCACAACAAAAAAAAAATCCAACTGACAAAATTATTTGCTTCAAAATATTACAGCTAAAAATATTTCAACAAAAAATCGTTAATGACCCATGCCTCGGAGATACTCCACAGTCATTCCCAGCTCGCTCAACGAAATCACAACCGAATTTCTTCAAAAATAATTGACGGCTAAAATATTTTCCGAGTATAATACCTCTGGGCAGTCAACAATACATCTCATAATCCTTTCAATTGTAATATTTTTAAAAATAATGTAATGATGTCGTAATATCTCGACTTGTAACATCTTTCGGACTAATATTTTCGCGAAGTAATATAATAAGTACGTTACAATATTATGACTTGCAGAATTTTTTGGTAATATTTTTGATGGGTAATATTATTATTGAATAAAATTTAAAGCAGCCCCCAAATAATTGACCAAAATCTTTGTTTTCCCTGATTTATCGATCAAACTGTAAAACTTCAATGATGAAAATTCTCGACAGTATTTTTTGTTTGCCCTCATAAATATGGATCAGTGGAATCTCACTCAATCCGTTCTATCGAGGCACTCCATCCAGAAATACCATATCCTCACCATCCAAACAGCAAGGAACCCCAATTTTTCTCCAGCAAACATCTCTCGTTTGCATCACCCTCCCAACATTACCAAAACCCGGTGAAATATCACCGGAGAAACATTGCACCAATCGAGCCGGAACCATTGAAATGTTATCCTACCAGCCTTCAACCTGAGTATTCTGTTAAATTTCCGTTCATGAATATTCATCGCTGTAGCTGAATCCACCTAACGGTTGCCACGTTTTGTTATGATTGCTGAGACGACGAGTACAATCATCCCAGGAACTCCCGCCACTCAGAAACTCCACTATCAATGACTGCAACTAAATCAGTGTAACTTTTTTTTCTTAACAATTCATTTTACACACAATTTTCTCGTGAAATCATATTTTAAATTTCATTTACAAACATTTAAAACCTATCAAATAATTCTTTACTTTAAAAATATTGAGAATTCAAATGACTATACCTGAAATTTCGATAAATTTCCAACAGAGCAATGGCGACGGTTGTTTCCACATTATTAAAAAGATACCGAAGACGAACGTTAACACGTAGGTGGAGCACACCGAGACAATTCCAATGTTGATACCGATCTCCGGCAACCGGTAAAAAGGAAGTTAAGTTGAATAAGGACAGAGTTACAGGCCCCCGAGGCGGGTCATGGCGATCGATACGTCTCTCGCTTTTCGTCGGATGTATCTATACGGGAATAAAAAAAAAAGCCCCGAGAGGGAGAGCAGGAGGGATGAAAAAGAGAAGTAACGAGAGGAGTAAAAAAGTGGCGCGTCCCCAATAATGGCCCTTCTAAATCTCTGATCTCGATAGCCCGAACACAGTCACTAATGCCGGCCCGAGGTACTTTACATGGTGGCATGGTCAACTCAAACGTGTATGTGAAGTGTGTCGAGATACGAATGGAGAAATACCCAGGGGGGGAATAGCCAGGACTGCATGTGCTGGAGAAAAAGGATGCACGGTTCGTTTCAATATCACGTCGAAATACAACTTTTCACTATCTTTCCGCTGGATGTCTCTTTCGTTCTTTTTTTTTTTACCCTTTTTTTTTCTACGGGGATTTTTTATTCCCCACGATCGACTGCGGTCATTTGCATCGCACGCGTGGGCAGAACTCCACGCACACAGACACTCGTGCCAAAGTGCTCTTAAACCAATCGTATGGCCCTACCTTCGGGCTTTAGTTCGCATTTTATAAAGAATCAATTCACCGCGGGATCCAGAAAACTCGGAGACCCCGTATCCCGTCACAGGGGATACCAAATGCACAAAATTCGACTTTTTTTATTCTTTTTCACTCATCTCGTGTCTTCTTATAATAAGCGGGGATATTTGCCATGCAGAAAATACTCTCGATCATCCGGTGTGTTGGTATTGCTTTGGGAGAAAAATCTGTATGTATATCGCGTGATTATATGCCCCCGCCGATTTTATATTATCGCCAACACGCCACGCCTGTCGATATATGCGAGGGCCCATTTTGAATGAGAAATTCAACGATAATGTTGGACGGCGAGCGGAATGGGGGAAAAAATGAAAATTGATGGAAAAAAATATCGGGAGTTATTGAAATAAATCGGTCTGATTACCGGGAATTCAGGATGAATTTTCGGGCTTTTATTGGTTTGCTGAGGGCGAGGTAATTCATGTTTATCTTGTTCTGAGCATTATGATAAATAAAATTAATCTATTCATTTAAGATTAAAGTCGAATTATTTACTAAACATTTTTATATATTCTTTGATATCATCTGATGAATTGATTCCAAAATGACAGAGTCAATTCAGATCGAGATTTTGACATTTTTTCTAGGTCACAAACTGCATCCCCATATCTAAGATCATAAATCCCGATTTATTCCCTGAGTATAATCCCCTCAATATCTTTTATTGAAAAAAATAAAATCTCATAAGATGTCCCGAGGGCAACTTAAACAGCCAATCTTTCCATTTTCCTCGCAAGCATCTCGCTCTAACAATCTCATTTCAGTATCAACGTCAGCCATTAACTGCTCAAAGTAAATACAGAGATTCCGGAAAATTTAGGACTACACTCGACCATGAAGTAGACAAACTGTAGTACGGGGTCAGTGCTCACACGTTAAGTATCCCAATATAATCAAGTATCTTATGCACACATTCAACTTTTGTACCGTACATTTTTTTTATTCCAACACATATTAATTCTTGAAGCTGATGCTTCCCCGGTGGCCACCAGGAGAGGCTCTTCAGAAATCCATGACGGGGGAGGGACAGGCAGGAGAGGGTGAAGAGGGTGGAAAGGGGGCGACGGGGAAATTGGCGGAGGGTGAGGATGAGGGGGAAGTTGGGAAGAGTGGGGCGGGAAGAGAAGAAGCGAACCGAGGCGACTATCTACATATCAGCAATCTGTGACAAGTTAGCGTAATGAGGGCTCCCTCTTTGTGGAGAAGAAAAGAGAGGGAATGCGAGGGGAGAGGGCAATTATCGAGGAACTCCAGCTTCTCCGCCCGTGGGCGCACTCTCGTACTCTTTCTCTCGCTCCATCCGCAAAAGATAGAGAAACGCAAAAGAGGCGAACGAGAGGTGCCTCTCCAATGGCAAGGGCGACAAGACGAAGAGCCCTAAGAACGAAATGTGGTTTATTTTCGTATTTTTAACATGTCACAAATGTGAGAGAGAGAAGTTACCAGTGGAATGTCCCGAACGATCGGTTTCAAGGGTATATATAAGGACGATACGATGCCTGGGATAAACACCTGCAATTAAGATATGTTAATCACTCTAGAACACACGTATCCGGGGCCCCTCTCTTGTACTGATACATTATTATTTTCGGCTGGGATATATGTGTACATGGGGATTCTTTTTGGGATTGCGCGTGAAATTCTCGTTTGCATTCGTAAAACGTGACAAACACCAATATTGCGGGAGTAAACGGAATAATGAATAATATTGGGGGGAAGTGTTTGGGGTTATTGATGGGGGACAGGGGAATCTGTGAGTTCTGCTTTTTAGTTGGGGTTTTGTTTTTCGCGAATAATTTCTTTCAAGTATTTTTCGGGGCAGTTGGCTTTGGGATCACAATGGAAACAGTGTACAACAATATATTGTTTTGATCTGAGGGTATTGTTGGGTATTTGATCAGCTGCATTGTGATCGTTTAAATTCAGGAGATAGGACCCTTAATTTTTACGCAACAATTTTATTTGATGATTTATGGTATAAACTTTGTTGAAAATTCTATTGAATGTTTTACGGACAAATTTTGTTTCTTGAGTTTACTTGAACTTGGGCATTGCATGCCAGTTAATCGAATTGTGTGCATGTGCAAGTTGAGGAAAGTGACGTAAGGTGATAAGTAATTCCGATAAGCAATTTTACGAATGCAGTTGAAATACGTTCTGAACAGACTGTAATTTACTCAAAGGACAGTTTTAATTGTTGTATGCAAACAATGTGGAAAATTTCCTATGTTTATGTAAATATTGAAATATTTCGGTAAGAAATTGTAATTACACGTACAAATACAATTCTGAATCATCAGACAATTGAACTTAAATTGATTCAAGTCACCGTCAAGTTAAAAAAATTCTGGTGAACATTATTTTTCAGAATGTCGTAAGGGAAAATGGTTTTCCACGCTGATAAGATAATGTATATTTTGTAAAAGCAGGTGTTGCTGGTAGGCTATTAGCATTGACATTAGCACTGGCATTTCAATATTTGCTTTCGACGTGCGACCATCGAAGAACTATGAAGAGTTTACCCAGCGTATTTTTATTAGTAACAGGGCTAGTATACCTCTTTGTTATTGGGAACAGTAGATGTAATGCGAAAAATGATGACGGAACGGATGTCCAGTTTGTGGGGTTCTTCAGTCCGATTAAACGATTTGAATGTAGATTCTTACAACGAGGAAAGGTGCGATAATCAGAAAAATCAAATGAATAAACATAGTGAATGTTATATTTTAATTTTCAGATACTCATACCATGGTTCCCTAAATGCAAAGTCGATCCGTCTGATGACTCCGATTCATTATCAAGCTCATCGTACTCATCGAGTTCATCGTCAAGTTCGGAAGAAGAATCACCGGTTGAACCCGAAAGTGAACCGGAAGGAGAACCTGAAGGTGAATCAGAACCAGAACCAGAAAGTGAACCAGAACCAGAACCAGAAAGTGAACCAGAAGTAGAACCAGAAAGTGAACCGGAAGGGGAATCTGAAGGTGAACCAGAACCAGAAAGTGAACCAGAAGTAGAACCAGAAAGTGAACCGGAAGGGGAACCTGAAGGTGAACCAGAACCAGAAAGTGAACCAGAATCAGAAAGTGAACCAGAACCAGAACCAGAAAGTGAACCAGAACCAGAACCAGAAAGTGAACCAGAAGTAGAACCAGAAAGTGAACCGGAAGCGGAACCAGAATCAGAACCTGAACCTGAGTCGGAGCCTGAACCGGAGCCGGAAAGCGATGCTGGATCACTACAAGGAACTGTGCCTTCATCGTCCTCATCGAGTTCGTCGTCATCAAGTTCTTCATCGTCAAGTTCAGAAGAAGGAACAGCGGTTGAACCAGAGCCCGAACCTGAGTCTGAGACCGAGTCTGAATCATCGAGTTCATCATCAGGTACAAAAGAAGGAGCAGAAGTTGAACCCGAAGTTGAACCGGAACCCGAGGTCGAACCAGAGCCCGAATCCGAGCCTAAACCTGAGTCTGAATCTTCAAGTTCATCTTCAAGTGCAAAAGGAGAAGGAGACGTTGAACCTGAAGCTGAACCAGAGCCTGAGGTTGAGCCAGAGCCCGAATCTGAGCCTGAACCCGAGTCTGAATCGTCAAGTTCATCTTCACATGCAAAAGGAGAAGGAGACGTTGAACCTGATGGTGAACCAGAGCCTGAGGTTGAACCAGAGCCCGAATCTGAGCCTGAATCCGAGTCAGAATCATCAAGTTCATCTTCACATGCAAAAGAAGGAGCAGACGTTGAACCCGAAGTTGAACCGGAGCCTGAGGTTGAACCAGAGCCCGAATGTGAGCCTGAACCCGAGTCAGAATCATCAAGTTCATCTTCACATGCAAAAGAAGGA